ATTTATGTAAAGGTGAGAGCTTTTGATCACTAAAGTCGGACAGAGATATGTGTCTCAATTTATTTAAAGTACTGGATTTAAACTAGCTCTGACTTCTACATGTGAAATGAAACAGCATAATGAAAAAGGAATGTACTGGTTGCAAAGACAGGAGCTTAGTCTTCTCCCCTTCTGCCCAATCCCCTTTCAACCGAAGCTATGTATGATTCAAAGCTTTCCGTGGACAGTGTTAAGAAAATAAAACTGGTTTAAAATAATGATTTGCTTTATAGTGAAATTATGATATTTGTCATTTATACTTTTGAACTTCAGATTTTATAGAAATGATACAATGTAAACTGTATTAAAATGCATTATGTTTTGCCTTATAATGGTCTGATTTCCCTACACAGATTGGTTCTATTTAATTGGATTGGATGAGAAGCAAGTCTCTCATCTTCTGTTCTGATGACTGACTGGAGTGTTGAAACATTTAAAGCATAACAGAAATATTCAGTTTTCTTTTGTACTGAAGGACACAGGGGAAAAAAAAGATCAATATTAGAGACCAAGCCTATTGAAGTACTTTTGTTTTATTTATGTGTTGAATGGACAAGTTCCCTACAGGAAGAATGTTTGAAGTTGAGGGATTCCTTAATGTCATGCACATTCATCATAGTGTGGCATAGATTAGTGACATTCACCTTGTTTCCAGCCCATTGCCTCTAGCACTTCATGAGCAAACAAAAGCATAAGCATCATTTGAGAGTGAATATTTTAAAAATTGTTTTATTAAAAGGATATTCCCTTAAAGGTGTTTTTTGAAAATGAGACTGATCAAAGGTTAAGAATCAGCCTTGTTCTGTCAGACAAAACTGAGTTTGCACGTCTCCTTTCTATTTTATAGCATAAGATGTTTGGGGCTGTTTCATTCATTCATTGACTAACTCAAAATTTAGCAAATTTACCTCTTTTCTTTTGATCCATTTTTGGAAAATGAGAATCAATAGCAAAGCCAGCACTTTGTTTCTCTCCTTAATTACCTTGGAGAAGGTGGTACTTCTTGAACTGCCACAGTCTGTGTGGTGAAAGTGCTGTTGAGGAGCAAGTATTAGAATTCTGATTAGCAATGGTGGGCAGTAGTCAGGATGATATTACATTATAGAATCAAAGAAATTCACAGTAGGGAAGGAGGCCATTCAGCCCACCTGCTGATGGTGAGCATCCAGCCTAACCCATTTTTCAGATCTTCCTTTGTGCTGTAACCTTGTGGGTTAGGCACTTCAATCCCTACCTCTTTCCCTGAATCTATCCCTCTAGTTATGGAACCTTCAACAAAGGGAAATAGAGAATACTTTATCTGGACTCTTCATGAGTCATATGATGTGAGACTGGGAGGGAAACTTGGAGATGTTGGCGTTCTCGTGGTGAAGTTCATGGATTTGGAAGGTGTTTTCATAGAAGTCATAGCAAGATGTTGCAATGCAACCTGTAGATAGAACATAATGCAGCTACAGTGCCAAAGTGGTAGAGGAATTGAATATTTAAGATGGTAGATGGATAATGTTCTTCATCACAATAAATCAGTTGTTGTGATAGCATTTATAACGAAATACTGAGCAGGCCAATGGTCTTTAAAGCGTTAATTTTGGAGGAAAGTAAAATGAAAGCATTAGAGAAGTTCTAGATATGTACATAGTACAAAGTCTTTGAGAAAATTTTACAATGGGTGTATATTAGAAGTGTACATATTGTATGTTATGCATCACAATAACACAAAACCTGTGTGAGTAGCTTTTCATGACTTCAATAAAATAAAAATATTAAATTAGCCATGCTAAATTAATTAGTTTTAAATTTATAGCTTAGTCATCATAACAGACTGGCTGTTCAAAAGATAAGTTCACTTAGTGCAAGAATAAAATTTGGAATAACTTTTTGACTTTGGAGGTATTATAAGTACAGTGTTTTGAAAAAAAAAAGCATCAGCTCAAAAGATAGTGGTTCAAACTCAACCCAAAGACTTGCACAATTAAGGAGGTACTGCTCTTTGAGATGTGTGTCTTTAAATTTGGACGTTAAATTGTCCTCTCAAACAGATGCAAAATATTCCATAATGCTATCTGAATAAGAGCAAGGAAGATCTTCCAATGTTTTGAGCAGTAATTATTGCATAAGCTGTATGAGTAAAATTGATTATCTGGTCATTTATGTCATTGGTATTTGTGTCACTTACTGCTGTGCATAGACTACTTGTCATGTTTCATACATTGTAACATGATTAAACTTTGAAAATAATTAATGGTGGAGCATTTGAAAAGTCTTGAGGACATGACAGGTGCTATGTAAATGCAACTTGTCTTTGGAATATCTTTCAGTGATCAAAACTTTAGAGAAGACAGTGTTGAAGTTTCCCATTGAATATTTCCAATCTGCTCAAAAAAATCTTTTTAAATTCCCTTTTAGGGAAAAGTCACCATCTTCAGGCAAATGTGTTAAACTGGATACAGTCAAAAGTTATAGTACTTCCATTCAAATGACAAAGGACTTTTAACACACACATGTTTATTTCTTGGCTTAATTTCTCCATTTCTGTCATGTTTTCTACTTCATTATGGATTACTGCTGCTTTTTTAGATATTCAACTGTCTGTCACACCTAGATTTCTAAGCCAGTGGATGGCTGTACTAAACGGCCATGAATTATCAGCCAACAGTTAATTCTAAGCCTTGTAGCCAATGTATATGTTGGAGTGAGGTGGTTATTGCTGGAAGTGGGTAAGCATTGGGATTACTACAATGCAATGCCCTAAGAAGACCCAGGTCCCATTTACTTTACCCATAACTGCACCAGTCTCCAATCAGTATAGCAAATTTTCAACTTGACTTAGTACCAGAACTGGTGGTGCAATCATACCACTCATTTGAAAAAAAAAATCACCTGCTTTCCTTTTTCTCTAACAGGCAGCTGAACCTTAGCCACATCGTCAGTTTTACCGGGGTGTAGCAGATTGAAAGTCTGATCATAGATTGCACTCCCTCGTTCTTTGCAACAAAGGTTAAATATCAAAGGATCTAAGCATTATTGCTGTAACATTCAGAATGACAATGGTTGTGTTACTGGACTGATGATCTAGAGAACATGAGTTGGTAATCGTCATGCCATTTTGAGAATTTGAATTCTGTTTATTTTACAGGTATCAAGTTAAAGTCTCAAAGGAACTTGTGAATTGTTATAAAAAGATCAAGTAGTTCACTGGGACACTTAGCACAATAAGTCTACATCGATAGCTATCTTCCACATTAGCCTCCTCCCACCCTTTTTCATCAAATGTCCCGTCAATGTTTCCTTCAACAATTTACTCATTGTTGCTTCTCTAGGTCCCTCTTGATACCAAGGACAGACTAGGATTAACGTAGAACGTTCTTCCATTTTATAAATTGACACTCTTAATTGCAGATTATCCCCTTAATGTTTTAAATCTACATTCAAAAATACTTGCAAAGATAATTGTAAAAATAAATTACACTTATATATATTAAATTATTAAACTCTATTACATGTAAATTATGAACAAAGATTTGATAGGGACTGTAAAAAATATTAATATCTAGTAAAATGAATAAAGTTATGACTAGTAATTTTCTCTGATATCGGGAATGTGGGGCATCAGTTACATGGAGAAGCAGAAAAGATTAAAGAAGCTTTAATAGGAGTGTTCAATATAATGAAAGGCTTTGATCAAATGCATAAAAGCTAATTGTCTTCAATGGCACACAGACTTAAAGTAAGTGACATAAAAACCAGAGACAACATGATAAAATAGTTTTTTTGCACAGTAGTTGTGACCTGTAATTTCACTGCCTAAACAGGTAGTAGAAGCATACACAGCAGTAGCATTTGAAAGGAAATCAGGCAGATAATTGAAAGAGAAGTGTTTCACTGGGCAATGGGAAAAGCCAAGGGAGTAGGAATAGTTGGATAACTCTCTCAAAGCGCTTGCACTGACATGATGGGCTGAATGACTATTTCCCTGCTGTTTGATTCAATGATCTTCATTCTTCAATGTTTGGGAAACACATTCCCATTGTTACTCAGGCAACTGTTGCAGAAGTACCTTGTCAAAGAAGTGATTTTTGCACTCATCCATAAATACTATCTGGCTGGCATTAAATTTTACAGCATTCCCACAGCAGTGACCAACATTGGTCAAACATTACATAATAAAGTCAACACATAACTTTAATGATCAGTAAAAATAGCATGAACTAATTTTCCCTAATAAACTTGTTTTATTGGTAATAGTAGCAGGAGATGTAGAGTCATAGAATCATACAGCACGGAAGCAGACTCATCAATCCAACTAGTCCATGCTGAATATAATCCCAAATTAAACTAGCCCCACCTGCCTACTCCTGGCCCATATCTCTCAAAACCTTTCCTATTCATGTACTTATTTAAGTATCTTTTAAACATTGTAATTGTATCTGCATCCACATTTCATCAGGAAGTTCATTCCACAAGCGAACCACCCTCTGTATAAAAAATTTGCCCCTTATGTCTTTTTTAAATCTCTCTCCTCTCACCTTAAAAATATGTCCTTTAGTCTTGAAAACCCCCATCCTATGGAAAAGACATCTACCAGTATCACAAACTGTAACCATTATTAATTTATGAGCTTCTCTAAGGTGATGTCTCAATCTCCTCCTCTTAAGTATGGCAAGGAATTTTGAAGGTCACTCTACATCTAAACACACGCTAAGAAATTTGATTATGGTGGAGGATTCTTTGCATGCTGTTGCCCCCACTCTCTAAGCTATTGCATCAGTATTGGGCAAGGGAAGGAGGGCACCCCGGAGACTATTTCAGTGGTACAGGGATTGAAATCACCCTCATCTGTTGGTGTTATTCTGCACCAACTCTTGGCCAACTGAGCTCACCAGCCTCTCAACTGAACTTCTCATTGTGCAGCAATAAATAATATTTCGCCAGTAATATTTCTCTTATCCTTTCATTAACAGGTTGCTTCCCTCGGTGTCACCACTTTCACCTTGTGTGCACTGTGCATTGACAGATTCAGGGCCGCCACCAATGTGCAGATGTACTACGAGATGATTGAGAACTGCTCATCAACAACGGCCAAGTTGGCCGTCATCTGGGTGGGTGCCATGTTACTGGCGCTCCCTGAGATTGCTCTTCGGCAGTTGGTAACTGAGGAGGTGGCAGCCTCTGATGTGACTGCAGACCACTGTGTTGTGAAGATATCTCCGAAGTTACCAGACACACTGTACGTGCTGGCACTGACTTACGACAGCGCCAAGATGTGGTGGTATTTTGGTTGCTATTTCTGTTTGCCCACCCTCTTCACAATTGGCAGCTCCATCGTGACGGCTAGAAAAATCAGAAAAGCGGAGAAGTCCTGTGCCAGAGGGAATAAACGTCAGATTCAGTTGGAAGGCCAGATGAACTGCACAGTGGTGGCCTTGACCATTCTCTATGGATTCTGTATCATCCCTGAAAACATTTGCAATATTGTAACTGCCTACATGGTTACTGGGGTCTCCCAGCAAACAGTGGATCTGCTGCAGCTCATCAGTCAGTTCCTTTTGTTTTTCAAGTCTTGCGTGACCCCAGTGGTCCTCTTCTGCCTGTGCAAGCCATTCAGCCGTGCGTTTTTGGATTGCTGTTGCTGCTGTTGTGAGGAATGCGGGCCAAAGTCATCCACGGTCGCTAGCGATGACAATGACAATGAATTTACCACTGAACTTGAGCTCTCTCCATTCAGCACAATACGGCGAGAGATGTCCACCTATACCTCAGTGGCAACGCACTGCTAAAACCTTTGGCACATCTCACTGACATGACGTAGTGCCCCCATCATTGTAGACGTGTCAATTTCCACCATGGATCAGCCATCCTTTGCAAAGGAACTGGATTGAATGTCACTGCCAATGGAGCCCAAACCTATCACAACACCTTAGAAACTTCACATTACTGTTCTTTCATTTTGCAAGCAAGTCCATTAATGAGAAGAGTGTTCATTCGCACTGTCGTACAGTTAAGGCTGTCAAACACATATAAGGATGAAGAGAAATCTGTTGCAGAAGTACAATTTAGGATGGTCTTCATGCATTTAGTGTGGATTAATAAAAGGAACTTTGTGTAATGTATAAATCAAACTCCACCAGAATCTGGAGTTAAGATCATGTGGTCCCTAGTCCTTGGGTATGAAGAAAGCTTAAAAGTGAAGTCTGTGACATATGTGATGTGCTTAGGGAATAGTAAGGACTAGCTAACGTACTGTATTTTGCTGTATAGTGACTGCAGCTAGCTGTTTTACATTGAATATCTGAAGTTTGTAAGATTTATTGTTGGAAGCTGTATACACAGACAGCATAAATGCTGGTAGACCAGATGTTGACGATATCCTGTTATAATTTTGTGATGTCGGCTTTGTAATAATGGAGAGAGCTGAGTTGTAAATCAGAATTATCATTGTTTTTTTTCTTAAATTCCTTGTTATGGACTCCAAAACTATTTGGAATTGTGGGGTATGTTAAAAAAAAACTTTATTCCCTACAAATAAAACCTTACATTGAAAAAAATGATGTATTGCATTCAGTAAGCTCAGCTGTTATCTCTGTGCACTAGCAGTATTTCAGTCAGTTGACTGGAGCATAGGTTCATAAACATTCAGTCTGCAGACTAGCATAGCTTCGAGGGCAACCTAATGGAATTTCTATAGACTGGCCATATGGGAACAAAGTTTCTCAAAAATTCTCTGTTTGTTTAAGAGGTGAGTTAACTGAAATATTCAAAACTAATGAGGAGGTTTGATAGAGCAGATGTGGCGAAACTGTTTGTACGAGCAACAGGCTCAGAGATGTAAGATAATTGTCAAAATGGAATAGAAAATTTGAGTTATAAGGAAAGGCTGGATAAGCTGGGACTATTTTCACTGGAGCGTAGGAAGTTGAGAGGTGACCTGATTAAAAAAATGTTTATAAAATAATGAGAAGTATAGACAGAGTTGATGGTAGTTGTCTTTTCCCTAAGATGGGGAATTTCAAGACTAGGCGGCACATTTTTAAGATGAGAGGAGAGAGATTTAAAAAAGACATGAGGTAAATTTTTTACACAGCGAATGGTTTGTGTGTGGAATGAACTTCCTGATGAAGTGGTGGATGCGGGTACAATTACAACATTTAGAAGATATTTGAATGGATACATGAATAGGAAAGGTTTGCAGGTGGGAGTAGTTTAGTTTGGGATTGTGGTCGGCATGGACTGGTTGGACCAAATGGTCTGTTTCCGTGCTGTATGTCTCTATAACTCTATAGCCAGACATAACATTTTTCTTTAAGCAGAAAGTTAATATCAAACTCATTACCTGGAAGGGTAATGGAAGTACTGTAAATTTCAAAAGGAAAAAGGATATTTGATAGACTGCAGTTGCTTGGAAAAAGAAGAGTTAAATGCTAATTGGACAGTTCTTTCAAAGTGCTCCCACAAGCATTATGGACTCTTTCTGTGCCCTACAGTTTGCGAAGTATGTTGAGGTGGAAAATCCAGACAAATACCACATTGGCCCTGATATTAACAAGGAGGTCGTGAGATTGCAAATGAGCCAGCAGTGCACGGGAAAGGCCAAACCCAATTGAGACCTTTCTTGTCTTACCATCACAGCCTCATCTCTATAATGTGCTGCAGATTCCAACAAAACAGCAGGCCAGTGGTCAGGAACATCATTGAGCATTATGAGGTTATAGTGACTTGTGGGATGGTCACAGAAATAGTCGGAAAGGACCAGTAAATTCAGGTGGCCAACAGGGATGCTGCAGAAGATGCAAGGCATGCAGGCGCTGCATCAGTGATGAGGTCCTGATGAAGAGGAGCATAAATCTGGGCTGTGGTAAGGGCTGGGAGAAACTGAACTCTTGCTCCTAATGCCAGGTTGTAAGTACTCCAGCTCCTCTTGGTCCACAGGAGTTAGCCTTTAATGATAACTTTAGGAGCTGGCATGTCTGACATCAAACACAGAACCTGCAATCTAAAACGCAGGCCTTCTCAGGGACTATGATATTTTTTGGTTATGACTTTGGAATGTTAAGTTGGCCAGCACCTATCTTTTGCAGGACTTTCGGCAACAGTCTGATTTCTGCTTTCACAAGCTTGAATGTTGGATTGCTGCATCTCTATTTTCACATTACTCCAATCGGGTTCAAATGAAGGCAGTTGGCTCTGTTGCAATGTATATAGTAGCTGAGAAGATTTTTATCAATGATAGCAATATGTTTCTCTAGTTGGTAGGGTTGGATGCCATTGAGAGTAAGTGAGTCTTTTCATGGCAACCTTGAGACATCTAGTTATTAGTAAATGGAAGACTCATACCAATTACCGGAGTTTTAAAATATACAGGGTACTCCCACACACAGGTTAAAAAGCCATTAAGTTGTATATTGCATACGTTGATAAATTTGGTTCTAAAGTATAGTGACGGGGACTTGCCCATGTTAACTGTTTCTGTGCTATAGCTAACCTTCCATCGCTTTCAATGTGATCATGACCGTGAGACTTAAGACTCTGCCATCTGCAAATGATTAGACGTTATTTGCTGAGTGTCGCCTCTGGAGTATACAAGGTCAAAACTAACTGTCAAGTAATCACTGATGTTCAACCTTACTTGGCAAGTCACTAGAGAGGTTAGGGTTTCATTAAACTGTGTATGCTTACGTTCAGTTGTCTGTCACTGTCCTGCTGTTGTCAAGACCAGCACCTTGGTGTCTTGCAAATTGTTACGCTATTCTTGAAACAAGTATAAGTCAATATTGCTCAATAAATTTCTCGCACATCAAGATTCATTCAGTGGTTTGTTGCTCTATGAAAGTTATCTTGCTTTACATATTTGAATGGCAATGACCTTTGCTGTACATGTTCCTTTAGATTTTTGAATAGTGGACAGAAACTTAAATTCATTTTAGTCAACCAAGGTAAATGCCTTTTTACAGGATAATAAAAATTCTACTTAAAAATATTGTTATAACTTAAGAGCACCAGAAATACAGGATCATGATTTGTGCAAATTTCTAAGTCACATTTAAAAGTCCTTTAAGAGAGAAGGAAGTAAGTCTGCCCATTGGAACCACATTGGATCGCTCGAACAATTACTAGATTGCATATCCACCCCCTCCCCCAAGTCTAGAATTTCAGCCCCTGCAAGTTTATTTCCTTCAAGTGGCCATTCACATTCCCTTTGAAATCATTGATCATCATTGTTTCTGCTGCCCTTGCTTAGCAAGTCCAGATTATTACAACTTGCCATGCAAAGAAATTATTTTTCATGTCTCCTTTTCTATCACTTGCTCAAAATCTTAAATCTTATTACTTCTGTAAGTCACCTCTACACCCTTTCCACTACCCTCATATCCACCCAAAAGTGTGGTGGCCAGATCTGTGTGCATTACTGTAGTTGTGTCCCAATCAGAGATTTAGCGTAACAGAGATAGTGGGAACTGCAGATGCTGGAGAATCCGAGACAACAAGGTGCAGAGCTGGATGAACACAGCAGGCCAAGCAGCATCACAGGAGCAGGAAGGCTGACGTTTAGGGCCTAGACCCTTCATCAGATTTTTTTTATTTAGCATAACAGCCCTGCTTTTGTTCTGAGTACTCCTATTTAGAAAGCCTAAGATTTCAGATGCTTTTCTAACTAATAAATTATGCCAACTTCAAAGATCTATGCACATTCACTTCCTTTGTTCTTGTGCACCCCTTAAAATTTTGCCATTAAGTCAAGTTGGCATCTGTTTATCCCAGAATGCATCGCTTCACATGTCCCTCGATTAAATTCCATTTGCCACAACTCTGCTAGACTATTCATATTTTCTTGAAGTCAATTTGTGTCATCCTCACTGTTTGCCACTCCTTCAAACTTTGTACTATCTATAAATGATGACATTTAATTCTGCCTTCCAGTGTTTGTTATTTATCTATATACATCAATAAGTGCAGCAGTCCTAACACTGATATTTGAGAAGCACAGCTATCTGCCATCCTCCAGTCTGAAAGGTAACCACTTACCATCATTCACTTTTTTTTGTCATTAACCTAATATTTTATCCAAGTTGCCATTGGCCATCTTGTTGCATGAGCCACAATTTAATTAACTGATCTTTTATGTGTTTACTTGCAAATTTCTATGTGCCTGGTTGAAAGCATGTATTCATCAACATAACAACAAATCAAAGCAGGCATAGACAGTGCCAAACTGGAGAGAAAACTATGAAGAATATAATTGGTAAAAAGCTGGTTTGAAAGAATAAGAAAATGTATAATTACACAGCAAGTTATTGTGATCTGGAATGTGTGCCCTGAAAGGGTGTGGAAGCAGATTAAATTGTAACTTCTGAAAGGGAATTGCATAAATACGCAAAGGAAAAACAGTTGCAGGGTGATTGGAAAAGGCAGAGCAATGGGATAACTCTTTCAAACAGGGTTGAATGTCCTCCCTCTGAGCTATGTGGTTCAAAATGATTTCAGCCATGGACAGCAAAAAGCGGAAAGTGAGTTAAAGAGATCGCACCAAGTACTCTCTAAAAATCTCGACAACTACCTTCTTGCTTTATGCACTAAGCTGACAAGCTCATATTCCAAAAAACAAAATAAAATTTGCAACATCATGCAAAAATATAAAATATATAAAAGGATTAAACTTAGCATGTAGAACAGGAATCCCTAAGTATGCAGGACTAAAAATGTTGTCCATTGTTTGCCAGTGTTCATCTGTCTTCATGGTCATTAATTTCAGACACTCAGTTATTCCCGGAGGGCCTTTATATGTAGCTCCATGAATTATTCTTTTCTGATTTTTGTCAAGACAAGGCAAAGAATGGAACCCTCATGGGAGAGAAAATGATTGCTATATTTAAGGGATGATCTATTTATTAATTTTAGCATGTTATATCTGTAAGTAAATGAATAAAAATGTGTTGTTTCATGTTTTCATTCTGTAATACATTTTAATTACATGTTTATAATTTTTTCTCCGAAATAAAACAGGAACAACTGGAAAACAGGAAAAGTTTGGGAAAAAATTGAATAATTTAATTATGTTTGTTTAAGTAGGTATTACTTATGTTATGATACATTATAAGTAGTGAATTCCCTATAAGAATTGTGTTGAGGATGGATAAATGGGCAGTTATAAAGTGTCTTTGAACTCCCAAAGTACTATACAGCCAATTACACATTTTTGAATTGTTACTGTGACAATGTAGAGAATTAGTATTAAAGAAGTTGGTCTAGACTCCTGTAATGTTTGTGCATATTTGTTCATTTTTCAGCGGCTAGTGAAACTTATTGCATTGTCCCTCTGAGGAGCTCTCTTATAAACATTTTAATTCATTCTAAAGTATTACATCACTCCAGTTCTTTCACAGCCCAGCACTGATTTCCAAACTGTTTGGATTGAAATGTGCATCTTGGTCTCCCATTGATTACTCATTATGATCAATGCAAGAGAAATCTGCTGGCATATTAAGATATGGGTAAATTTATAAAGTGTGTCAGCTGTGTACTATTTCTCTAGGAATCTCCAAACTCAGCTTGGCATTATCATGTACGAGGAGCCACTCTCAAGCAAAATAAGTCTGTCTCCCCTGAGGCTCATCAAGTCAGAACCCAACTCTGCAGTTATATTGTAATATTTGGTTCACAGTAAAGCATAAACCAATTGATAATGTTAATAAAATTGAAGTCTAAATAGAAGCTGTGCAAGATTTTACTGGCTTGTTAGTAAGTATGGGAACTATAAATAAAAAGTTTTTTTTAAAAAAGACTTCTATTACATAGCACCTTTTAGAACCACAAAACATCTTAGAGCACTTCATAGTACTTTGGAGATGTAGCCATTGTGGTAGCGTTGTACTACAGCCAATTTGAATGCACAAAGTTCTCACACGCAGAGATGTGATGATAG